TTATTTTTTTTTAAAAACCTCAAAAATAAAAAAGAGTAAATTACACGAATGGCCCCTATGGTTTGGGGTAATTTGCACGTTTGGTCCCTAACTTATTTTTTTAACTCGGAATGTCCCTATTGTTTTTTTTTGTTACACGCTTGGTCCCTATTGTTTGTTTTTGTTACACGCTTGGTCCATGTCTTATCTAAAAAGACTATTATTTAAATAGAGAAAAATGGTGGGGTAGGTAAGATAAGGTAAGGAGGGTGGAGTTTTGGGGTGTGTTTATTTAAATAAATTAAAAAATCAAGGGAAAAATAGTCTTTTTAGGTAAGATAGAGACCAAACACGTAACAAAAAGAAACAGTAGGGACCTTCTGAGTTAAAAAAATAAGTTAGGGACCAAACGCACAAATTACCCCAAACCATAGTAACCATTCGTGTAATTTACTCGATAAAAAAAATGGGTAGATTACTCGATACCATAATCGTTAAATCCCCAACAAACAAAGAAGAGGATAGAAATAGAAAGATATTACTATGGATTTCATCACAAAGCTTCCCAGGACCGCACGAGGGGTGGATTCGATTTGGTTCATCGTGGATCGGTTGACCAAGAGTGCTCATTTCATACCGATGCAGGAGAGCATCTCGGCCGAGAAGCTGGCCGATATCTACATCTGAGAGGGATTAGCTCGACACGGAGTGCCAGTTTCCATGATTTCTGATCGCGACGTGCGATTTACTTCCAGATTCTGGAAGAAATTCCATGACGAGTTGGGTACCCGTCTGCACTTTAGCACCGCTTTTCACCCGCAGACAGATGGTCAGAGCGAGCGGACCATCCAGACTTTGGAGGATATGTTGCAGGCATGCGTTTTAGACTTTGGTCGTAGCTGGGATACCTACCTTCCCTTGGCATAGTTTTCCCACAATAATAGCTACCACACGAGTATCGACCGTCCTCCCTTCGAGATGTTATACGGGAGGAAGTGCAGGACCCTGATCTGCTGGGGTGAGGTTGGGCAGAGGGTCATGGGGAGTACCGAGGTGGTACTCAAGATGACGGAGAGGATCTAACAGGTTCGGAATAGGCTTCAGACTGCTCATAGTCGGCAGAAAAGTTATGCCAACAAGCGCCGATCGGACCTGGAATTCCAGGTCGGGGATAGGGTTCTCCTGAATGTGTCACCTTGGAAAGGTGTCATCCGGTTCAGGAAGCGGGGCAAGTTGGGCCCCAGGTACATTGGACCTTTCAGGGTTGCAGCCCGGGTGGGCAAGGTGGCATATAGGTTGGATCTGCCAGCCGAGCTTAGCTAGATTCACAATACCTTTCACGTCTCCCAACTGCGAAAGTGCCTGGTAGACGACTCTGTAGTGGTGCCTCTAGAGGATATTCAGGTGGATGACAGCCTGAACTATATCGAGTGACCAGTAGCTATCCTCGACAGGAATTCAAAGGATTTGAGGAACAAGAGGGTCGAGCTGGTGAAGGTGCAATGGCAGCATCACAAGGGCTCAGAATGGACTTGGGAGCCGGAGGACGAGATGAGGGAGCACTACCCCGAGCTTTTTATAGATGCAGCAGCAGACTTCGAGGATGAAGTCTAAAATATGTGGGGGAGATTTGTAACGCCCAGTTCCCAGTACGTATTTTAAATATGAATTTTTTCATTTTTACACTGGGACTCGACGAGTTGGAGGTCCCAACTCATCGAGTAAGAGGCGAATCTTGGACGCGGGTGGAAGAGTCTACTCACCGAGTCGGAAGCCCCGACTCAACGAATAGACCTGTCTGGATGAAACCCTAAATTTTAGGGTTTGCACCATATTTAAACAACTTATATGGCCTCCACTCCAGCCTCCATCACCCTCAGACCCTATTCTCGAAACCCTAATTAGTTTGTGAGTGTTCTTGAGCTTTTTGTGCCATTTTTGTGATTTGAAGCTTGGAGAAGGAAGGAAAGGCTTGGAGGTCCAAGGAGGAGACATTAGATCCAGAGTCTTGGTTGCATTTCCAACTTGTTTGAGGTAAAAAGCTTCAACATTGGCTTTCCTTCACTTAGATATTCTTTAAGGCTTGCATCTTGTCATTTTTGGGACATTTCTAAGTCACTCTTGGGATTGGAGTAATATTAGAGTGATGAGTTCAGATATGGGAACATTTGAGCTAAGGAAGCTCAAAGTTGCCACCTTTATTGAGCTATGGCCCTATTCCATGCATTAGAACCCCTTCATGGCTTAGTTTTGGTGTTTTAGCTTCATAACACCCATGCATGCACGTAAAGTTTGTAACTTTACGTGTTATATAGACCCTAGGAGCCCGAATCTATGCTTTGGATGCACGTAAAGTTTGTAAAAACAAAATTTTTGGTATTGAAAATTGGGATGTTACATCATATGTGATGAGGAATGTCGTTCAACTAATAAAACAAAAAATGTTGTGTACAAAGAGGTCCTTCAACGATTATAGATATTTATCGATTTCAATGTATCGTCTACAAATTTCAATAATACCAATAACCATAATTTTTTTTAATAATTATTATGCATTATCTGTAGACATTGTATGTTTTTTTATGCGTTCCCTGCGTTTAACGCGGGTTATAATCTAGTATATTGATAACAATATTAGGGTTACGGGTTTTCCACAATATTCAACAATTATATTTATAAAAATATGAAATTTATAAAAAATGATATATAATCAAACATGTCACATTCGAGTTGAAAGTCTTGACCCTAACTCAACCCGTTTAACTTTCGTGTTGTGTCAATATGTTTACGTAAACGTGTGAAAATTTCTTAGGTGATGTTTATTTTTTGTCTGTAGATCTACGTGAGCTCTTCTGTCTACGCCGTGCAGACCACGCGTAGACATAGGGCTTTGCAGTGTGTTTGTTTTTTAGAAGTCCGCACTGCGCGTGGTCTTCTTGGTGCAGACTTGGCCTTGTGTCTTCTCACCTCTTTACACCTATTCAAAATTTAAAAACCAAAAAAAAAGATACACTCTCAACAAACGCTTCCCTCGTTCTCAATTATCACCGCCCCCCTCCTTCATCATTCATCGTCTTCTTCCTCCCCTTTCTACCGTCGCCGTCCTCCTCTTCCTTTCGTCGACGACCAGAACAAACACCATCTACAACCATCGATGACCAGAACTTGCGCCGTCCAGATTTTCCCCCGTCGACTTCAGGTAACACTTCTCTTCTCCTTCTCCTTTTCCCCACATGTAAGCATCTCCATCTTTTTGCTGCCAAGGTCTGAAATCGGCTACTAGGGTTGTATCTTTCTAATTTCCTGCTCCATCTTTCTTGCTACTAGGTTCTAAAATCGTTTCACTTTGTTTAATTTCATTTTTGAATGATTCAATCACAAGGATGAATAATTTATTGGTTTAATTTCGTTATTTAATGATTCAACCAAGGTTTTGTTTTTCTTTCTTTCCTTCCTATGTGAGATAAAACTTGACCGTTGTTTTTTTCTCCAAATTTGCTCGATTAAAACTTAATTGTCAGTGACGGTATTTAATTGAAGGTGTTTGTTGGCTTCTAACTCCAATTTTATCAATCTATTTCAATTTGTTTGTACTTTTACATGTAGAGAAAACGTTTGAAGAAATGCTAGAATGAAATGTGTTTTTTAAATGAAAGACAAATTATTTGATTCAAATGAGCAATTATCTACTGATGTTAAAACTGTTGATTTTTAATTACAAAAGTGATGAATTTCATGCTTATTTGACTTAAATATTATTAGCTGTATCAAGTTTGATGGAGTTGTTTTTCAAGTTCTAAGAAAACATGTGTTGTTAACTTCAAGTTGTTGCTCTGTACATATTTCATCCTCAAAAGATTAGTACAAATGGAAAGCTTACTGGGTATGCGGAGAATCCTCATGAAAAGATTGGTAGATACTTCATCCTCAAAAGATTGATACAATGGAAAGCTTATTGGGTATGCATGAAATCCTGATGAAAAACTTCACAAATCCAAGACCCATAAAGAAAATGAAGATGGCAAGAATGGAACAACTTTTTTGCATTTTTGTATCTTTATTATGAAAGCTTCACAAATGTTTGGTTTTTAACTTTTTTTTTTTGCAAAACCATTTTGTATAGTGACATAGCATTTTTGTAATTGGTTTGAATTTGCAATTATTGATAAGAGTAATTGAGAAAATGAAAAATCCTTTTAAGTTAAAAAAAACGGTTTATTTAAATTTCGGTTTATTTTAACATCATGCAGACATTAAAAAAAAACAGTCTTTTTCTAACAGACTGCAGACGTTTGATCCATCTCTACTTCTGCAGATGTGGTCCGCAGACTGTAGACGTTTTACCTCTTAAAAAACAAACAACACCTTACCAAACATGTTGATTATATGTTGAGTTCATATCGGGTGGTTGTCAGGCCTAACCAGGTCGGACCGTTAACCCGTCTACTCATTTCAGAATTCGGGTCCGAAATAAGCATTGCGGACCGATAAATCATTTTTCAAAAATTAAATTTAAACCGATTATTTTTTTTTAAAAAACCTCAAAAATAAAAAAGAGTAAATTACACGAATGACCCCTATGGTTTGGGGTAATTTGCACGTTTGGTCCATAACTTATTTTTTTAACTCGGAAGGTCCCTATTGTTTTTTTTGTTACACGCTTGGTCCCTATTGTTTGTTTTTGTTACACGCTTGGTCCCTGTCTTACCTAAAAAGACTATTATTTAAATAGAGAAAAATGGTGGGGTAGGTAAGATAAGGTAAGGAGGGTGGAGTTTGGGGTGTGTTTATTTAAATAAATTAAAAAATCAAGGGAAAAATAGTCTTTTTAGGTAAGACAGGGACCAAACACGTAACAAAAAAAAACAGTAGGGACCTTCTGAGTTAAAAAAATAAGTTAGGGACCAAACGTACAAATTACCCCAAACCATAATAACCGTGTAATTTACTCGATAAAAAAAAATGGGTAGATTACTCGATACCATAATCGTTAAATCCCCAACAAACAAAGAAGAGGATAGAAATAGAAAGGCATAAGAACTGTGTCTTGCGTCTCTGTGTCTTCACACAGATACACACCAGAAACAGAGATGGGGCTGCAGTGCTGTTTTGGTGGAACTACGATTCAAACCCTAAAACTCGCGTCAATTCCATACATGACGTGTTCAACATCATCGTCACTGCGATCCTCCGCCGCCATTTCAAGACGTTTAACTCTCTTCAAAACCCTATCTGCATCTCTCTCACGCAACTCGACACACCGGTTTCCGTTCCTCATCAGAGCACTATCCTCAGCGGCGGCTTCTGCACAACCGGTTGCTGATTCCACTACCATTGCTTCGGTGGATTACTGTAATACTTCCTGAATCTTATTTATCATTTTCCTTTCTGCCATGCATTTTGTCTTTCCCTTGTTATTTGTCGAGAAAGCTTGAGCTCATAGTTACTATTGTCCTTTCTGCCATACATTTCACCACACAATTCATAATCTGTTCTTAAAATTGATTGGGCATAGAATTGGGAATACGGAATCTAATCAGTTTTTTTTTTCAATCTCTAAGTTATTTTCTCACTCGTTTTTGGTAATGAAATACAGCAGTTGTGAAACCTCAGTGGAAAGCAGCAATTGATTTCAAGTCTATTCTCGAGAATAAATCGGCAGTAGCAGCAAACCTCAAGAACAGGAATTCCACAGCTAACCTGGAATTAGTCATTGAGCTTTACGAGAAGTTACTGCAACTTCAAAAGGTTAGGGGTCTATCAATTCAAGGATGAAAGTTAGCATTGAAGTAAATAGCGAATATTGTTGTCTTTCAAAAGATCACAGATTATCAATTTATGATTCTTCTTCATATCTTCTCAGAAAGATTGGTTTATTGTCTTGTAGCTAATTGTTGCTCGCAGATAGCAGGAAGTTGAAGAGCTCCGATATGAAAGAAATGCAGTTGCAAACAAGATGAAAGGAAAAGTGGAACCATTAGAGCGTCAAAGACTCATAGAAGAAGGTATACTCTATACATACATTTCTATGTCACATTGTCATGTTCAAAATCTATGTTCTTTACTCTTACCTAATTCCTCCCCTTTATTCTCATACTCCAAATGGAATTTTTTCAGGAAAGAATTTGAAGGAAAAACTGTTTACACTGGAAGAAGATCTTATCAAACTTACAGATTCTCTTCAAAGGGAAGCACAATGTATTCCAAATATGACACATCCAGATGTCCCAATTGGAGGGGAAGATAGTTCAATAATTAGGAAAACTGTATGTCTCTCTTTTCTTTTTCTACCTAAACTACCCTCATTGTCTTATTGGAGTCTCAATATCTACATGATTGTGTAGATTGGTGTACCTCGTGAATTCACCTTTCCTATCAAGGACCATGTACAACTTGGGAAAGAGCTCGATCTTTTTGATTTTGATGCTGCTGCAGAGGTATTTTTTCAAACTCATGGTATTATAATGATATAATCTTTTTAGGATTAGATACAGATTTATGCAACAAAGATTCAACCTTTTTCCTAATTTAAGGAACAAAGTGGTTTCTTATAGGTTAGTGGATCAAAGTTCTATTACCTAAAAAACGAAGCAGTTTTATTAGAAATGGGTCTTATAAATTGGACTCTTTCAGAAGTGATGAAAAGGGGTTTTACTCCTCTTACAACCCCAGAAATTGCAAGATCCTTAGTGGTTGAAAAATGTGGCTTCCAACCTCGTGGAGATAACACTCAGGTAAATAAATTATAAATATTGTTGTTGTGATTGATATGTTGAAATGACGTAAATGCCCTTTTCATACTATGTTAGTGATTATTATGTTTTGGGGGATATATGGTGCAGGTTTATTCCATTGAAGGCAGTGATCAATGTCTTATTGGGACTGCAGAAATCCCTGTTGGAGGAATACACATGGACTCCATTCTTGCTGACTCAGCATTACCTTTAAAGTATGTTGCCTTTTCCCATTGCTTTCGTACAGAAGCAGGTGCAGCTGGAGCAGCTACTAGGTATTTTATTAATATTATTGAACTTTGAACCCTATTATTCTCTCATTTATTTGTTTATTATAACATTCTACTATCTATTTTTTCTATTATGACATTGTTTTTTCATTTTAAACCATTGTACTTTAGGAATCTACCCAATTTTAGCAGTGTACTTTTATTATTTTTCTTTATTAGGACTTTTTACTATTAAAAATATGGGGATATTCCATAAAAGTTTTTATATTTTGGCCTCATAATCGATTTAGTCCTTATATATTTTTTTATTCAATTAAGTCTTGAAAATCGGCAATTGTCTTCATTTTGACCCTTTTACCCGGTCAACAAGGCAACCCACTTTCAAAATTTAAACTTTTGGCCCAAATTTCAAAATTTTGTGACAAATTATTGCACCTATTTTATAATAAATGCATTTGTATACAAATTTGTTGTTATAAAAAACTAAATTTAGATGAATTCGTATTTTTGGACCAATTTTGTAATAAAATTTAAGTTCTGGGCCAAACGTGTAAATTTTGAAAGTGGGATGTATCTGGGCCAAAAGTATAAATTTTGGACCAAGTTTGTAATAAAATTTAAAATCTGGACCAAAAGTGTAAATTTTGAAAGTAAAAAGGTCAAAATGAATACAATTGCCGGTTTTTGGGACATAATTGAATAAAAAAATATATATAAGGACTAAATCGATTATTAGGCAAAATATAAGGACTTTAATGGAGTTTTTCCTTAAAAATATACCCCAATCATAGCAATGCAAATTGCTTTATATCAGACAAAATCAAAGTAGGATGCTATAATAAAATATTTAAATATCAAAAGTACATTGCTATTTCTTACATTTTGTGTTTAACTAATTAGTGATTTTTAAAACAGGGGTCTATACAGAGTGCACCAATTTAGCAAAGTTGAGATGTTCATATTATGCAGACCTGAAGAAAGCAACACCTACCACCAGGAGCTAATTGAAATTGAAGAGGATCTTTTTTCAAAATTAGGGCTTCATTTCAAGTATAGGATTTTTCATAATTTAATTATTAATAAATTTTAATCACACAAAATATAAAATTAATTTTCATGACAGAACATTGGATATGGGAACCGCGGACTTAGGTGCTCCTGCTTACCGTAAGTTTGATATTGAAGCCTGGATGCCAGGTTTAGATCGATATGGCGAGGTACAAATACAATACACTTCATATAATATTTTATTTATTTTACATTTTATACCATAACTATGTTTACAAATTAAATCTGTGTTATTTTTTTTTGACTGGTTTGATCTATTTTATTAAAGGGTTAATCTCGTAAAAGACTATATATATTTTGTGTTTTTTCCACATTAAACCTCAACTTTTTTTTTTTTCATGAAAAAGACTTTGCATTTTTTTCATTTTTTCCGGTCTGATCCGTTTAGTCATTTTTTTTTTCTGAAAAAAGTTGTAAAATGTGAAGGGCTTTTTTTGGGAAAAACTAAAAAAGTTGAGGATTTATTTGGAAACAGTTAGAAGGTTGAGGGTTTTTTCGGAAAAAACCAAAAAATACAAAGTCTTTTTCAGGAAAAAAAACATAAAGATAAGTTTTAATCTGGGAAAAACACAAAATGTAAGGTCTTTTATAAGATTAACCCTTTATTAAATGTAGAAAATAAAAATGAGTATTTATTTTTAGAAATATATCATTTAAAAGCATCCGTCAAAACAAAACGATCAAAATGACATCAATATCGTATATTAAAAAAACATTGCATGCTTAAGACACAACAAATTAGACTTAGGGGCTTTCTAAAACATTTCATATAGATGCTGATTATTAATTAAGGGTTAATCTCATAAAAGACCTTATATTTTGTGTTTTTTTTCCAGATTAAACCTTATCTTTATTTTTTTCCTGAAAAAGATATTGTATTTTTGGTTTTTTCCGGAAAAAACCCTCAACCTTCTAACTGTTTCCGAATAAATCCCAACTTTTTTAGTTTTTCCCGAAAAAACCCTCACATTTTACAACTTTTTTCGGAAATAAAATGACTAAAAGGGTTGGACAAAATGAAAAAAATGCAAGGTCTTTTTTAGGAAAAAAATAAAGTTGAGGTTTAATCCGAAAAACACACAAAATAATAAGGTCTTTTATGAGATCAACCCGTTAATTAACTTTTAAAAAAGGTTTATGAATGAAAATTTCTTTAATAATATATTTTTGTTAAGTAAAAGTTGATGGAAAGCTGATATGACAAAAGTAAAAGCCTTTAAAAAAGATAACCATCAAAGATTCTCTTATAGCAACGAAAATTGATTTGTATTTGGATGACATTGCTATGATCTGTATAGATATCGAGCGCATCGAATTGTACAGACTACCAAAGCCGAAGATTAGGTATCCGATTCCGTCCGGAAAATCCAACAAACTCTGGAATTACAAAAAAAGGAAAAGGCCGGAATCTGACACCACCGGAATTCGTTCACACACTAAATGCAACTGCGTGTGCGGTCCCACGTATGATCGTGTGTTTGCTTGAGAACTACCAACAAGAAGATGGAACCGTTGTTGTTCCGGAACCATTAAGGCCTTTCATGGGTGGGATTAAATTAATAACCCATAAATCAAAATAAAAAATAAAAAGTTAAAAACAAAGGTTATGTATTATTTTCCAATTTTTGGTTGATTATTCTACTTGTTTTTTGGTTAGGGTGGATGAAGATGACATTAGTAGACTTGCTATATTATTTGCATTTATGGGTTGTTGAATTCTTAAATCTATAGAAACTAGTATTCACATGTAACACTAACTTTTAATACCTAGCTTTTAATATAAGGTACATCCAAAAATTTTCGCTTATTATTTATAAACATATTGGTGTACATTTATATTAACTATCCAATACAAGTAGTTATTAACACGAACAGTTTAAAGAAAATTTAATATAATGATATGAGCTGGGTATCACAATCTCTCTTCTTTTATCCTTGCTTCTTAAATAAAGTTACCGGCAAAACATATATTAACAAAAGGATAAGCTATAAAGAGTTTAATGAGTAATTCTTATTTCAAGCACATAATAATCATAAACTCATATATACACCAATCTTACAGTATATAGTTTTTCAAGACTCATTTATAAATTAAGGATTTACAACTCAACATGTTTCTTTAATAATAATAATAATAATAATAATAATAATGGAATATTAACTATTCAAGTTGTCATTAGACTCTCACAAGATACTCATTCTCATTCTTTAATTTCTTTTTATTTATTCTCATTTTTGCTCTAATCTTTTTCTATATACACATTTTCTTTCTCTTTTATTCTTTTATTCTCTCTACTCATTTGTATACTAATTCTTTTCGTTTCTCTCTACTTTCTCTATCTCAATCTATATACTCATACTCTCTCTCTCTCTCTCTCTCTATATATATATATATATATATATATATATATATATATATATATATATATATATATATATATATATATCTCTATAAATCTCAATTATACTAACTCATTAGCTAATATAATAGTACAACATTACGTGTCTTGGTAATACTCACTCCTAGACCACTATAGTAATATACAAATATACATCACAACCATAATCACTTTGTAACACATCATTTAATACTGAATTTCATATCTTGAGTGTACACGCTAAAAATGTAATACCTTGCTATGCATCTCAATTATACTTGCGTATTTACCCGAATAGTATTAAAATACTATAATTTCCAATTACTCTATTTAATATCTCGTATAACATTAGACAATTACCATTTTCAATTATCATTGTAGGGTTCAAAGTACTCAATGGATCATGACAATGGGCCCCCTTGATGAAGTGTAGGTTAAAAGCCCAAGACTTGTTTTTTCCTTATAAATAGTCATGTATTATTCATAATTAGGGTTAAGAGTGAGACAAAATGTAGCCGCCAAACATTGTGAGGTTTCTTATGTAGAGTTAGATTCTTTAGTCTATTTTGAAAGTGTAATTTATTCCTCATGCTTTGAATAAATCGAGTGATCATTCGACATATCTTCTTTATTGTGTTTGTTCTTATTTTCCGCATCTTGTTCATCAAATCACAATTAGGGTTTTAATCCCAACAAGTGGTATCAGAGCGGGTCTTTGAAGATCTATTGATTTTTGAAGTATCGGTTCTTGATTTGATGATTTTCTACACAAGTTATTGAAGATTACTGATGTTTAGGCGTTTTGGAATCAAAATTCTGTTAAAGTTATTGTTCATGAAGATTTATGGTGTATTCTACTGTTCATCGTAGTAGTATTTTTCTGTTAATATTGGATTTGTTCGTTAATTTAATCCAAAAATCAATTGATTTTAGTCCTTTGTTTTGATCCAATTGATTTTAGTCCTTTGTTTTTATTGGCCCTAATATTATATCTATGTTTCCGATTGCATCTTCGGTGTTCAATTTGAATATCGATTGTTTCTTTAATGCCTTCATCTTCGACTCCATCTTTGTTCTTTCATTCTTGAGTTGTAATCTGTAAACGGATTTATTGTCAAAATCAAAATTTGATTTTATTTGATTTTGGGTTTAATCTTATCAATCCGTTCTTTCGTTGATTACCGATTTTATATCGTAATTACATTGATCTGAGGATGTCGATTTTGGTATTTGTCAATTATCGGTTTTGATGGTCAAAATATTAAAAGTCAAAATTGGAATGTATGATTTTACCTGCGAATACAATCGATACAAATGTTAAGTGAATCACAATCAGTATTCCTTTTGGAAGCATTCGGAACTAGAACTGGATTCTTTCTTCATAAACAGGTCTCGGAATCGCAATGGTTTTATGTTTCCATTCGCAGTTTGCTGGTCACAGATAAAAGTCAAAATTAAGACTTTGCAAATGGATTCGTCTGCGAAAGCTCTCAGTGTCATAAAAACGAACCGGGGCTTGGATTCGGTGTTACTGGTGATTCGCATCGGGTCTGTGGTCGATTGATTCGGAGCAAAAGGTCAAGGAATCGGGGATTGTGATTCTGGGTTCGCACTCACTTCCCATACGAATGTCAAAATTGATTGTGCTCGCAGTTGGGACTGGACTCGGATTCGCATCTTTGTGCTCGGAACGAATGTGTAATTTGTGGGTGTCGATTTCTTGGATTCAGAGTTTAATCGCGTGTTGTTGTCACTGTGTTCTTTCATTTCACTAATTAAATGGGGAAGATGACTCAAGTTACATTTCTGGTCCCTGTATTTTTCGTGACTTGGCTGTTTTGGACCATTTCTAGAAATTGTTACAAATGAAGGGGAGTATGATGCAAAATTATTAATTTAGTCCCATGACTTTCAGCAATGTGACAGTTTCAGCCTATTTTTCGAAAAGTTTACAAATTTGAGGGCTGGTGAACAATTTTGGATTTTTTAATGCACATATTTTTTCGTGAACAGAAAATTAAGGATTCCATCAAGTCTTGGCGGTTCGGAAAGTCGTTTTTCGCAATAACGTCAAATTTTTTCGACTTTTTCGGATTTTAAACTTCATTGTTTATATCATTTTGTCACGGGGGAGCACAGTAATTATTTATCCATTCAGGATCATTCTCATGACCATTTGAAGGTTTTATAATCAAGTTTTTGATTATAAATTGGGCGAGAATTTGGTATGACCATTCGAAATTGGATTTATGACTTCTCAAATTTGAAGATTTTAGATGAAGCTTGTGGTAGAATTATGAAGGTAGCTTTTACAGTAGCAGTTCTTCATCGAGCTCTTCTAAAGCTTTTACAGAGAAGTATCCTTTATAGTAGCAGTTCTTCGTCGATCTCTTCTAAGGCCTTGTTATATCTCCGACTTCTAGTATTTTCTCGATCAAGTGGCGTTACGAATCTTAAAATCTGGGTTGTTACATGATATTTTTTGGTGGCTTATATCATTAGCTTATTTGAAGATCATTGTGACTTGGAGGGGGAGTTCTTCAAAGACAAGAAGTGATTTGGTTTCTTAATTCTGAAATGGGTTTTTATGGCGGGTTTGGCTTTCTTGAAGATCTTTGGGATTACATCAGAAAATGAAGTTTAAAAACATTACTTCAGTGCTTGGTTCATATATATCCTAGAACCCGTTTTTGAAGACTATTGAAGAATCAAGATTCGTGGATTGCTTCAAATATTCCTCGTTGCGAGATCTTTTCTTATTTGCTAGATGCTTGTTTTGGAAGTTGAAGCATTGTCATCCATTCCGTACTTTGAGGGGGAGATTGTAGGGTTCAAAGTACTCCATGGATTATGGCAATGGGCCCCCCTTGATGAAGTGTAGGTTAAAAGCCCAAGACTTGTCTTTTCCCTATAAATAGTCATGTATTATTCATAATTAGGGTTAAGAGTGAGGCGAAATGTAGCCGCCAAACATTGTGATGTTTCTTATGTAGAGTTAGATTCTTTAGTCTATTCTGAAAGTGTAATTTATTCCTCGTGTTTTGAATAAATCGAGTGATCATTCGACGTATCTTCTTTATTGTGTTTGTTCTTATTTTCCTCATCTTGTTCATCAAATCACAATTAGGGTTTTAATCCCAACAATCATAAATACTCAACTCATACAATATGTAACATCTAATGCATGTACTCGTTCTTTCAATATTTTGAGCTAAATAAGAATGAAAGACCCAAGCTTTGAAGGTCATGACGTGAGAAGTAGGGTCTTACGACGTGACTTTAGTCTGATACACGTGGCCATTTTAAGGCTCACGATGTGAGGGTTAGGGTCTCACGACATGAGATCAGACTAACACTAATCCAGTGTTTTGCTCCTTATTTAAGAGAAGTTGGAGGCTAGGGTTTGCACACCCTCAACCTCCATCACCTCCTTTCTATCCAAATCGTTCTTAGCTTCCATTGTTGATCTTAAGAGCTCTTTTGGTGGTTTTTGGCTCTTTGAAGAAGAAGACTCCTTAGGGGCATCCTTTTGGCCATCAAGCTTCTACCTCTCCATCTTGCAGTGTCTTTGTACCTTTGTAAGTCCTAAAGCTATTGCCTTTATCTATTATGCATGCTAGATCTAAGATTTATGCTTCTCTTTTCATGTTTGGGTGGGATAGCATGCATGAGATCCATAAAGTTAGCAACTTTATGGATCATTTAGACATTTTCTCTAGGATATGCTTCAGATATGAGCTTTGGTGTTGGTTTTAGACTCCATGTAACACCCAGTTTCCAGAATGGATCGGTTTAGGGCTTCAAGGAGTCAAAGGCATGGTTTTTAGGTAAAACCAGGTGTCACGACGTGACCATAGAGAGGTCACGACGTGACAAGTGATTAAATGGAAATGCTGATTTAAACTAAACTCACGACGTGAGATGCGCTGCAGCCCAAGCCCATGATCGTATAGGGTTCTCTTCGTATTTAAACTCCATAAACTTCATTTTAGGTTTCCTTAATAGCCTCCTTCATCCTCAAACACATAAAAACCATAACCCTAGCCTCCCCTTGTGATTTTTGAGCTTTTGGTGGTATTTTGGTGGCTTGAAGAAGAACGAACCACCTTTTGAGCATAGATCCATCTTGAAAGCTTCATTTACATCTTCTAGCAACATCTTTGGACCATTGTGAGTAATCAAGATTCAAGCTTTATGATTCCTTGTTGCTAAACTAAGGTTTTATGCATGTTTATCTATGGATAGTTGAGTTAGAGTGTTGGGACTCCATAAAGTTAGCAACTTTATGGGTCCTTAGAGTCCCATGGTGATTATATGTGATGGATCTGAAGTTTGGATGACGTTTGAGCTCAAGCTTGAGGTTTTGACCTACTTTTCTTCATAAATGCCCTAAT